GCTAACAGTCAGCTCTGTGACACTGTGGCAGCAGGACTCAGTGTCCAGCTTTCCTGTGTTCTGCCTCTCTGTCCTTTCCCTCTGCCAGGAGGGGTTATGTTGGCTGGTCCTGGGGTAGCGCGGGAAAGAGTTAGGTTGAGTGTTCTCAATCCCAGATCCCAGGCCCAGATCTCTCTGCCAGAAGCAGCCTGGCGGAAGAACCTAAGTTTGCTGATCCTGAGAGAGTACCAGGTAGGGTTGAGTGTCCTCAGATCCAGATCTTGGGTTTCTCTGCTAGGGGCCGCTGGGTGAACTGGAGAGGAGGTGCTGTGTCCTGTGGCAGGCTGCCTCTCTGTCCTTCTCCTCTGACCTTCCCCTCCACTAGGGCAAGCTTATGGCGGTGCTCTCAGGGGAGTGCCAGAGGGGTTGGGACTTCTCAGTCCGATCCTGAGCCGGGGTTTCTCTGCCAGGGATGGGGGGGCGGTATTAGGACTTGGTGCTAGACCTTATTGCACTGGACCCCAGAGAGTCTCAGGACGAGTTGAATGACCACAGTCCCAGATCCCGAGCTGTAGTTTGTTTGCTAGGAGCGGCAGGCAGCACTGGAGTTCCGGCACTGTGAAGCCGCTGTGCACCTCTTTATCCTTGTGCTCTGCTGCGGCAGGGTTATGGCGGTGTTTGGGGGAGTGCCCGAAAGGATTGGGTTTTCTCAGCCCTGATCTCGGGTTGGGGTACAGACAATGTGGTCTGTGGCAGATTCTGCTGGACGCCTCCTGCCTCCTCTAAAGAGGGAGTAGGGCTTTTTAGCTGGGCGCGCAGCTGCAGCCGCTCTCTGAGCGCGGCGGGAGCTCAATTGTGATGGCGACAGGTACCCGCGGTCAGTGAGACCTTCCAGGGAAAGACTGGGTGACCCGTGATCAGTCCCACAACTTTTCTTCCCCTGGGGTTTTCTTGCAACTGGGACTCCCAATCTCAGGCACCCTTGTGCCCACCAATCAGCCTGGTAAGTGATCGGGACACGCAGGCTTGCGGCTCCAGCCTGGAGACCCAAAGCCCGCGTTACCCAAGATCTCTTCCGGGTTCTGGCTGGGCAGCCGAGAGTGGACCCAACCGATTCCCATGCCGTGGGAGCCTCCCCTCACCTGGGAAACACGAACGCTGTAGTTTTAGGGCCCAGAGTTCAGTCTCCTGGTCGCTGCACGGAGAGTGCTGTCCTGCTTCTCAGACACAGTGCTCTCCCTGCGCAGCCATCTTGGCCCACATATATCAAGATTTCTTAATTCATATTAAAAATATTAAATATTTTCCTAATTTGTCATTTTTTGAAATTTTTTCTTTTTATATTCTATGAATTGTCTACACGTGTTGCATTGTTTTCTATTGATAAGTTATCACATTGTTTACTGAAACAGAAGATAATTAGTACCATTTCTACCCAGGAGAATTTCCTGTGGGCTTCATGGCAAACTCAGCAGATATAAACAATCTCAGTGAACCATATCTGTCAGTTAATTAAACCTGTATTTGATCTTCCTTGGTAAGATACATTTTTTTTTAGGCCTAGACTTAGAATGTTTAGGAGACCTAAAATTCAACATAAAGTATGTTATTTTGTACTAAACAGTTTCATTATTAAACATGGAGGATAAATTTTTTTAACATGTTTGTGCTGTTGGGATTAAAATAACTAGGTAATCAAAATTATTTTCATAAAAATCTAATTTGAAAAGAGATGGGTCACAAATTTGTATTATGTCAAAAAAAATCTTAAAATATATCACCCTAGCTTTTTTAAACACATGTACTTTTAAAGTTTTACTTTTATCCTAGTACATTGCTTTAAGCATGCTAAGCAAGTCCTGTGTAATTTAGCTGCTATCCCAGTGAAACTTTCTTCTCTTCTTCATGCACATGGGAAATATTTGTATTGTAATAGATTCAAAATATATCCTTTCATAGCTTTCAGTTGGTCCTGTAGTAGCTTGTTTGTGTTTACTTTAATCACAGTTACTTACTTTATCCCTGTGTGTTTGGGGTTTGTGTAGACAGCGTCAGTGGGCAGGCTGTGCAGCACATGGGCTAGTCCCAGGGACTGAACCCGGGTTGGCATGTTTAACGGGAACACCGTTATCCACGGAGCCATCTCAAGCCCTTGGTTTTGTTCTCATTTTCTCTTCTCAGGCTTTTGCCTCCAGATTATAATGCAAAAACTATCTAGCAGTTCTGAAAATTTCATGATATGCTAATAACAAAAATTATAGAATAGACAACAATTGTATTTGTTATATTTTAGTGGTTTTCATCTTGTCTTATACGAATGATTTAAAAGAGTCTTATATTAAGACTTTCATCTTATGTGAAACTCTCATAGTGGTGCCTGTAATAGTCCAGTGTGCACAGTATATACATTAATCGAATTCAGATTCTTAACAGCCAATCTTTTACTTTCTTCCAAAACTCTAATAATCACTGATTATTTAATTAGTTAATTAATTTAATTAATTAATAATCACTGATTGTATAATTTCAGATTAATTCTTTTCTCCACAACACTAGGTAATCCCAAGAGAGTATAGATGCTGTGTATAATTAATACACAGTTGTCTATATTAAAATGACTTGGTAATGAATAAAAATGACAATAATCCACAAAGAAAATAATAATGTAGAATAAAATTTTTATATGAATATAAAATCTTATGTAAAAGGAGCCCCACAAGGACCAAATATATCTGGGCACAAGGTTTTTTTCTGAAACTGTTTCTCCAACCAAGGACCAGGTATGGATATAACCTAGAACCTTTGCTCTGACGAAGCTCGTGGTAGCTCAATAACCAATTGGTTTCCCATAGTAAGGGGAACAGGGACTATCTCTGACATGAACTCAATGGCAGGCTCTTTGGCCTCTTCACCTGCCAAGGGAGGAGCAGTCCTGCTAGGCCACAGAGGAGGACTTTGCAGCCAGTCCTGAAGATACTTGATAAAACAGGGTCAGATGAAAGGGGAGGAGGTCCTCCCCTATCAGTGGACTTGGAAAGGGGCAGGAAGGAGATGAGAGAAGGAGGGTGGGATTGAGAGGGAATAAGGGAGCGGGATACAGCTGGGATACAGAGTTAATAAAATGTAACTAATAATAATAAAAATAATAATAATAAATCCTATGTAAACATAATTTGAAGTAACACAGTAGTCTCCATATGTTTTCATTACTATGATATTGCTCCTTTTTGAAAATTCATGTTAATTTTATATAATATTTAATTCACCTCTTTTAGCTCAGCACTAAAGTAATATGTAATGTATATACTACAATCATAAAAACCTTTTATTTCTAGTTCTCTGTCCTTATATATTCTGTATTTTCATGTGGAGTTTTAGTTTATTATTTTTTCAAGATATGCAGATTCTATTTCTTCATCCTCAGGGTGGATTTTATCAAAACTTTTTATGATAACATGGCTATATTTTATTGATGTCTGTGATTTTGTGTTTGATGAACTTTTCAATAAGGAATAATCCCCACCCTTTTCAGTTGAAAGAATAAATATTCACAACTAAAAATAATATGCCTCATGACAGTTTTATGACTTGAAAAAGCAATTGTATTAATGCCAAAAGGAAAAGAGGGGGAATCTTAATAGATAACCACCCACCTTGAGATACTGAGGTTGAGAATTATTGTGGTAATAGATAGTAAAAATAGCGATGAAAATAATAAATAATGGAAGGAGAACTTGGAGAAAAGGGGAAGAAAACAAATGAGAGTAAGGAAGGAGAAAGAGAAGGGGGAAATGAAAAGGGGAGGGGAAGAAAAGAGGCAAATAGTTTTTATAATTGCTTTGGCCTTATTATTTCTACAAATGCTGCCACAATATTTTTCAGGATATTGACATTCTTTCACACAACCCAGAATTCCTGTCAGGGCTTGTTGAAACGTGGCTTCATTCTTTTTTCCAAAGACTCTTCTGGAATAGATAATACCAGTAGTTTGAAACAGGCCTTTGGTAAGTCTAATTAACTTATTTATTATCACTGGTAACAGATAAAGTGTCAAGAATTTAAGAAATGTGATATATTGTAATGTAACCATAATGTTCCATTTACTTCAACTATTTATCAATTTATTAATCCATTCATTTTATAGAATACGTGAAATTTGTTGCGTTTTTGGAAGATTTTGTCATAAATGTGGCAAGGCATGCATGTGGAGATCGGAGGAAAACGTGAAGTGTTTGGTTCTCTCCTTCCACCATGTTAGTTTTCAGGGATTAAATTCAAGTTGTCAGTTTGGCAGTAATGACTTGACTTGGTCCTCACCAGCCACGAATTACATTAATAACATCTAAGAGAGACAACATTCTTTTAAAACATTTTAAAATATTTCAATTCATGGTTCTTTTACTCTGGATCATCAACTTATTTCAGCATGTTGTTTAACTGTAGAACAATGCTACTAACATGTTTTTCCTCAATGTTTATACTTCAATTGTGAAGTCATGTTCACATTCTATAGGACCGAAGATTGTAGCAAATTATTTTACCCAGTTGCTGAAGGACCTAGAAATCTACATTTGAATCCTGTGTGCTGACACTAACAGAAATTAGATTGTCTGAAATGTCAGAGAAATTTTGACCTCTCGACTTGTTTGTTTGACAGTCTCACAGGCTTCAAGCTATCCACACACTTACGAGGACACCTTTGCGCTTACAACCTCCACCTCCCAACACTGTACTATCACTCTTGATTCCCAAATTGGATTTTTTATGGAATTTGAAATGAGAAATAAAGCTAACTGAATGCAGGGATGAAGTGACTAATAGAGATGACAGTTATAAGCACAACATGAGTTCATCAACATACTTTCTGCTGGATTCTGTGTTTGTGGTTGAGCATTTTATACGACAAGTTGATAAATGAAAGGGGCCATTACCTATCTTAACTCCAAGACTCTTTACTATTTTCTAGTACTATGAATGATTACTTTCTGAATGACTTTAAGATACTTGTCTGAGATTTCAGCATGGAGAATGTCACTGACTTCCTTCTATTTATCCTGAGAGGCCTCACAGACAATGCTGAACTTCAGATCATTCTTTTTGTACTATTTCTAGTGATTTACCTTTTCACACTAATGTGAAACGGGGAACTGATGGCAGCAGTCATTGGGAATACCCAGCTTCACAACCCAATGTACTATTTGTTGGGTGTTTTATCATTCATAGATACTTGCTTTTCTACCATTATCACCCCCAAAATATTAATAGATTTCATGTCAGAGAAGAAAGTCATTTCAATCCTTGGATGTGCAGCACAAATGTTTCTTGCTGTCAGTTGTGGAACCACAGAATGTTTTCTCTTGGCAGCAATGGCTTATGACCACTATGAGGCTATCTACAACCCACTTCTGTATGCAGTAAGCATGTCACCCAGAGTCTACATCTCACTCATTATTGGCTCCTTGGCTGGTGGAATTCTCCATGCATCTATCCATACAGCAACCACCGCTAGCCTATCTTTTTGTGGCTCCAATGAAATGAAGCATTTTTTCTATGATATTCCCCCTCTGCTGGCTATTTCTTGCTCGGACACGAAAGTGAATGAGCTTCTACTCTTCATCTTTGTAAGCTCTATTGAGGTAGTCACTATCTTGATCATCATCATCTCTTACAGTTTCATCCTCTTTGCCATTCTGAAGATACATTCTGCTGAAGGGAGGCAAAAAGTGTTCTTTACATGTGGCTCTCACCTCACTGGAGTGTCCATCTACTATGGAGCAATCCTCTTCATGTACATGAGACCAAGTTCCAGCTATGCCTTGGAGCATGATATGGTAGTATCTACATGTTATGCTATTGTAATTCCCATGCTGAATCCCATTATCTACAGTCTCAGGAACAGAGATGTGAAAGAGGCAATGAGAAAACTTTTAAGAAAAATGTTTATGTCTATAAAATGAATTTTTCACCTTAAATCCTCAATAAAACAAAGATTTACCTTCAATGTCTTATCACTGATTCTGTTAGAAACTTCTTTTTATTTTTAATTTTTTATTTATATCTTATATTTTTATATTATGTATTTACTTTACATCCAATGGGTGCCCCTTCCCTCCTGTCTTTCTAGTTCCCCCCACTTCTCCTACTTCCCCCTTTTCTTTTCCCCCAATTTCTCATTGAATTTTAATTGTGTTTCTATTCTCAGTTAACATTTTAAAGTAAAGATCAAAACTCAAATCTAAGTGGATCAAAGAACTCAATATAAAACCAGAAACACTGACCCTGATAGAAGAGAAAGTGGGAACAGCCATATCGACACAGGAGACTACATTCTGAACAGAACACCAATAGGGCAGGCACTAGGGACCTCATGAAACTGAAAGGCTTCTGTGAGGAAAAGGACATCGTGAATTGGACAAAGCAGCAGCCTACAGAACAGGAAAAGATTTTTGCTAAGTCCACATCTAATAGAGGACTACTATCCAAAATATGAGTAGAACTCAAGAAAGTAGATATCAAAAAATCAGATAAGCCAATTTAAAATTAAGGTACATATCTAAACAGAAAATTCTCAATGGCTGACAGTCACTTAAAGAAAAGTTCAATATTCTCAGCCGTCATGAAAATGCAAATATAAACTACATTGAGATTCCATTTTGCATCTTTCAAAATGAAGATGATCAGTAACACAAGCAGTAGCTTATGTTGGCAAGAATGGGGAACAAGGAGAAACATTTCTCCACTACTGGTGGTAGTGCAAGCTTGTACATCCACTATAGAAACCCTGCCTGGGGGGCTAGAAACAGGAGACTAGATAGCTCAGACACCTAAGGTAGAACCAACCATGACTTGGGGAAAAGAATCAATGATGAAACAATTCCTAATGATATTCTGCTATATTCCTAGATTGATGTCATTGGTCATCATAAGAAAGGCTTTCTCTGCAGCATGTAGGATTGAGCACAGAAACCCACAGCCAGACATGTGAGGAGAGAGTCTAAACTGGAGGTCTCTATGGGTCCCTCCCCTTGGAAATTGGGGAACTCCATGGAATAGGAGCAGGAAAGATTGTATGAGTCAGAGGCGATAAAGGACTCCAGAAAAACATGGCCCACTTAATTTACTAAGGAGAGCTCACATGAACTCACAGGATCTGAAGCTGCAAACATACTGCCTGCATGGATCTGTACCAGGTCCTCTACATATATATATATATATATATGTATATACATATACATATATATACATATATATACACATATATATAACATGTATTATATGTATATGTAATGGCTGTCAGCTTGGTGTTTTTGTGTGGTTCCTAGAAGTAAAAGCAGGAGTGGCTAGACCTTTTACCTGCTCTTGGGACTCTTTCAGATATTGGGTTGCTTTGTTCAACATCTATACAAGGGCTTTTGACTTGTTTTATTGTATACTGTTTTTGTTGTGTTTGTTTTTGTCTCTCGAAGACCTGCTCTTTTCTGAGTGTATCTTGGGGAGGCGGGTGGAGTGGTGCTGGGAAGACTGGTAGGAGGAGAAACTATGGTTGAGATATCTTGTAGAAGAATTTATTTTAATAAAAAGTAAGCAGAAGTCATAATTATCACTGTATTTATTTCATTTTCACAGGCGGAAAGCAACTCCTCCACTATTTCAATCTTCTCCGGTTCACACACTCATGTACATCCACACACACACCCCTGCGACACTGAGAGCTGTTAGGTTGATGTGCTGGAAGTAAATACACGCAGGACAGCAAATGGTGTAAGTGATAGTCAGATTCATCGTCGTCTTCTGAAGGGCAGATTCGCTTAGGAATGCTGTTGTGAGTTGATTTCTTCTGAGAATTTTCTCTATGGTTTGCCATAGGAAATTATTCCCAGTATCTCCACATATTCTTCACTCTAAATATCTCTGTATGTTAACCTCACCTTACACATATACAAAAAAATTGAATACATTCTTATCTAGATCTCCTCATTTCATCTCATTGCTTCGTTAAGTAATATGATTGTGAATACAATCACATTCTGAGGCAAAGCAGAGTGAATATGCAAGTATGAACAGATGTGTATAATTTGCACATGCTTATGTACACACAGAGATTCACACATTTATTCAAACTTTAAAAAATTATAATCATGCAAACATTTAATATCTAAATTGTATAAAATACAATGTTCTAATATGTGTTACAGAATCATACTTATAGCCAGTCATACTACTCAAATATTATCAACTTAATAGAAAAATAGAAAGAAACTCAATTTATTTTTTAAGTCAATGTTGTTAAATTTCAGTTTAAAGCCATCTCCTGTTTCATTTAATATATGAATCTGAAGCAAGGCAAGCATAGATAAAGATTATGACATCTCAGATTAAGTGTTCAAATCCCTGAGTTTTATTATAACTATGCTAAATGTGGAAGATGTATTTCTTCATTATTTACTTCATTATTCATTGCACTGACTCAAGAAACATTGCTGAGGTGGGAAGTGGCACAAGGCCATATTCTCATCATTTAGGAGGCTGAGTCGAGAGAATGATTAGTCTGAGGCAAGTTGTTCTACATGGTGAGACTGTTTTATGACAGTAAATAAGATAAAGTTCTTAAATTCTGCACACAAAGTAGTAATATTTACAGAAGTTTGTATTTAACTCACGTACACACACGAATTCTCAAGGAGCGTTCTAATCATCAGATGCAGCTGATGGTATGTTACAGCTCCTTCTCAGGCAGAGCCTCCTTCCATCTGGATCCCACTCAGCCTTAGGTTCAACTTTATTTGACATCTGCCAACTTGTGGTGTATTGGACATGCCACACATACCTTATGGTCCAAGCCAAAGGAGGAGTCATTTCTACCTATTCAAAAATATTAATTTCATTTTGAATTTAGACTAAACTCACAGAATCTTTCCCTGTAATAATTTCTTTTCCAGCAAAAATATTTTTAAATAAAATACACAGCTACTTTAAAATCACATTCACACCCCTTCATTCTTATTAAAAGGGCTCATTTGACACAATTATGAATATATGAAATGAGATTTATTTTACTTAATTAATTCTAGAATTATTATTAGATTCAGACAGACTTTGTTACATTTTCACAATATTTTTAAATAAAAATGAACTTAAGAGACTCACTGACAAAATGAAGCAAATTTTGCAAGTTTCTTTTTTTTGTTTGTTTTTTCACATTTTTTTCTTTATTCCCCCCCCCCGTGGTTCCCTCCCTCCTCCCATCCCAATCCCTCCCTTTCTCCTCCCTCTGCATGCAAGCCCCTCCCCAAGTCCACTGATAGGGGGGTACTTCTTTTCTTTCCTTCTGATCCTAGTCAATTAGGTCTCATGAGGAGTGGCTGCAGTGTCTTCTTCTGTGGCCTGGTAATGTTGCTTCCCCCTCAGGGGAAGGTAATTAAAGAGCAGGCCAATCAGTTCATGTCAGAGACAGTCCCTGTTCCTTTTACAATGGAACCTACTTGGATACTGAACTGTCATGGGCTACATCTGTGCAGGGGTCTTAGGTTATCTCCATGCATAGTCCTTGGTTGGAATAGCAGTCTCAGGAAAAGACCCCTGTACTCAGATTTTTTGGTTCTGTTGCTCTCCTTGTGGAGTTCCTGTCCTCTCCAGATCTTACTGTTTTCCACTTTTTCCTATGTTGCTGAAGAAGATAAAACAAATGGGGTATTATGCATCCTTGTGATACTAAAATGTGCTTATCACCTTGAGAATGTCAGTTCATTTCTTTAAAATTGATGGCAATCTAATCAGAAATACATGAATCTAAGGACTTTGTAAAATGTCAGCAAAAGACAGGCCATAATATATAAAATTCTTATGGTAAAATACCAGAAAATATTGAATATGCAGAATAATATTTATAAAAATATGCAAAACACTGTGCTTGTTTATGAAAGAAAATGATTGAGAAAACTGCTATTTATGTTTAATAAAAACTATTAACAAGAACTGGGGCTTGCCTTCATTGATTCATATCAGATTTGATATAGTCTACTATTTCTACAGAATACATTTTATTCAGGAACTATCACAGTTTTCAATTCAAAATATCTCTTATGGAAAATTTCCCAATTTATCCTTGATACTGTCACTGATAAATATAAGTTACAAAATGTATACATGTATGTAGGTAGGTATGAATAATATTTTTCTCTTTCATAGTGTAGGAGATTATCTCATGGCCATTGTAATCCCTAAAATTACACATCATAAATCTATACATTCATTTATAATATGTGTTCATTTTAAATATGTGTTTTTAATTTAGTTGGAAAAATGAACATATTCAACATAGCCAGTCTTTCTCTCAGGCTCCTTTGAAGCCTTTGCTGAATTAGATCTAGAACTGTGGTTTTTGAAAGCATGCCAGATAATCTTGCAGGAAAATTGGTCCCTAAGGAAGACCAATGGTGGTGCTCATTGTCCTTAGACCCTGGCAGAGATAAGAGCTGTGTACAGCTCAGCCTGTGTTCACAGTAGCTCTCTGAAATGAAGCTGTCTAAGAAATGCTCCATTTGTCAAGACCCAAGAATAAAGTCTAGGGTAACTTAATTCTGAATTTAAAAAATAAATGGATAAAAGATCCAAAAGTATTGATTGCATGAAAAATATATGCTGTAGTACAGAAATATTTATGTCTTTATTTGGATTTCATATGTTAGTCATGAGAAAAATTGGAAAATAGCATCATTTTGGACATAGGATATTGAAGGTTTATTGCATTCATTACTGTGTTTTCCATTCACAAAGTTTGGCTCACAGTAAGTATTGTTAAAATTGGCACGGTGTAGGTCTGTTAGAATGAAGTAAGGGCTTTACTTAAGACACAGGTGAGCACTTAGTAGTTGTGCCTTATCTAAGTAAATATCAATATTTGTGCAATCAGACATGCAGAAGTGATGGAATTAGACTCCACAGAAGACGACCGTAA